GAGACCAAGCAGATTCTTTACATAACATAAGCACAATCAGATGTAAAGTAAGTGTAAAAGAATTAATTGTAAGACAAAAACTGATTTTCCTAGGTCAAATCCATAGACTTTATAGAAAAATCCAATTAATAGTATATCCGTGTGACTGGAAGCAATTTCTTGCAGCATTAAGATTCATAGATACTCCATTAGCTTATCTGTTTGTGGTCTTAAACATGACAATATTTTATTATTTCCTGTGTTATATACCCAGGCAGATGCCAACCTTTCTTGCAATCCTAAAATATTAGCAGATCCTGCTGGCTTTTTATTCAAATTTCATTGTGACAATTTTCAGTCCTAGCAAGGGATGGAGTCTCCTGCTCTCAGCATTTATCTCATTCTGTCCAGGAGCACATCCACATGGTACACTGGGCCGATCCAATATTGGTCATTCACTGTAATTCTCTCCACAGCTGCAGCCACACACTGTGCTCTGCTCTGCACCCCACCCAATGGACCTGACACATCACTGAACACATTCTGTACCTGCAGATTGGAACATATGCATGGACATAGCATAACATATCCTTATTCTTGTGGTGAAATGCTGAATGACAAAGCACTTTATGCAAGGTCCTGTAGTGGTTAAAGCAAACTGGGTCTGAAATATTTGACATTTAAGTCAGTAACTATTTGTCCAATTAGGTAATCAAATCCATGAAGTAAAAATATGTAGTTGTCCACACTTTAACACGTTTCTGCAGGAAATTGTACTACATCGTATTTTAAGTATAATAACACTATTTCAATTGGCTGGCATGACTGTGGATTAGATTATCCCCATTCTAGATACCAGCAATAAATCACTGCAATAAAACAGCAGCTGTCATTTAATCTTGTTTGTAAATTACCATTGCACATCCACAGTGAGGAAATCCTGACTTGGTAAAGCTTACAGTAGCTGTAGCCTAAGGTGCATTCACCCTCGAGCTTGACTCCCACTAGTGCAACGTCGATGTGTCAGGAAGAAGCTACTTGTGGCCGCTTGTAGCGAGTAGGAACACATTTCAACACAAATGCCGTGACTCCAGAAGAGAGAGCTTTCAACCCTTTTCCTGTTATTAACTCTCGTGTATCCTAAACTTACAGCCGTCGGTCTGCATAAACCCACATGGCAACCAGTAGCCTACGTGCAAATCGCCTTCCAACTCCTCAGGAAGTTGAGGCGAATCATGGCTCCGCACTTCTCCCAACAGTTCTGGACAGACACTCACAGCTCGTCTCTTCTCAGTTGGAAACACTCCATTCAGCGCTACACTCTCGCTTCTTTCCCAACACAAGTTCACCTTTGAAAACAGGACAAACTGTTTCCTGTTGAGGGTGTCATAACGTCCCTCACAGCTGCCCGGGGTCCAAACCTCCTGACATGCAGATTTAGAAAGTAAAGTGAGTACTTACAGAGGGAGAGGAAAATCCAACAGCCTGTCACTTTGCGCCCGATGTGAGGGTTGTTCGACAGCATCCTGTGAGAGTCCTGCGAGTAGTGTAGGCGCTGGCAGAGCATGGGTTTTCTGACAGTGTTTAAAAAAACAACAGGGCTTTTCCTTTTCACGGAAAACGGGGAGTGGGTTTGTGCTCCGGTAGGAGGCATCCCCATCTTCAGTACAAGGCGCAGGGACGCGCTCTGCTGGCGGGATGCGTTCACTGAGCTCAGCTGACAGACAGGCAGCCCGACCAGATGAAGGCCAATACTAAATCACAAATAAAGGCTACTCTTAACTGCTACCTTCAATTACCCTTGTGAAACTCCCGTTTCTGACAACTAATTGTTGAGCATTCTTTGTTGAGCTATAAATTGACAGTGTAGCAACACAAGTTTTCCCAATCTAAACAGTACCTATAGCGTTTATACCAGAACTGCAAGTTTTAGGCATACAGAGAGAACCTTGTCAGGGTATTATAAGCTGTGTTCGATGTACAGAGAGACAGAGTGGCCATCGGGCTGGGTCACTCTCCAAGCTGCTGCAGAGCTTGTAATTGATGCTGAACTCCTTGATGTAATAAATTTTTATAATCAAGAACAGTGTCAAGCGGATTTCTTCTCAACACATCACGCAGCATTATCGTTCGGACACCACAGCCTACTGAGTGATAGGGCTGTAACTTAATGATATTTTCATTATTATATATAATTGAGAAGCTGGATCCAGCAAATGTCTGGACTTTTGTTTGAAAACTGACAATCAACGGATCGACAATCAAAATAGCTGCGATTCATTTTCTGGCAGCCAACTAATCAATTAACTGACTTATTGTTGCAGTTCAAGTCAAGGGTTCAAATTCCACATGCACAACCCACCTGTATGCATTTTTTTATTAGCAAAAAGTCTCACTTCAAAACACCATGTGAATATTTTGTGTTTGTTCATTGTTAAGTCCTCCTCTGGCGCTGTGTTAACACCCCAAATTCCGAGGAACAAAACTTAAAACCCTGGACCTTGACACGTACAAGAAATTTAGTTTTGGTCTCCCAGTAAGCCATGCCAGTGGTCCCTGGAGTTGGCAGCCATTGTTATGTAATAAATAACACCTCTGCTTTTCTTGCAGTCTCAAGTCAAAATGTCTGTCTGGTTAAAGGCCAGTCAGGGACTACAGTTTATGTCCCTGGCAATATGTGTTAGACCCACTGTATAGTAAACAATACTTTTAATGATATAGCCTCAGTGTCGTCCACTTAGAATCACACTCAGTTGAAAACCATGCTAGCACTTGGAGAAGCCACAGGGAACAATTTAACCAAACCTTTCCCCATGACTCTTCTTATTTGTTGATTTTAAAGACCCACTTATTTTGACTGTTTCTTAGTTCTGGGAAAGCAATTATGACCAGCCTTACTAAAGTCATGCTGTACTAACATTATTTATTTAAATTATGTAAATTAACTTCCACCTTTATCACTCTAATTAGTACACAGAGATTGGTTACATAATTTATAATAATAATTATGTTCTAATTAACCGCAGTAGCTGAAAACACCTGTGTAGGTGTACTGTAAATACGTTTAGTTACTTATGCATAATTGCACTGCTTTGTTATTTTTGGAATGTGGTAAAGTTGGGCTCTTGTGTTATATTAGATTATTATATTATATAGATTGCCATGCTGTATCATGAAATGTGATGTCATGTGAATTCATCTGAGAACAGAGTGAACATTTCGTACATGTCAAACACATGTGCAACTACCAGTGATTGACATCAATAATGGCTACATTGCATTTAAGTGTTGCTGGGCTATTTTGCATATGGCTTACGTGTACCTTTAAATTTAACTGACACATCATTAATGTTTTCAGTTACACCTGTCTGTGTATGTGGGTTTTCTGAGGGCTGTAATGAAGCTGTAAGCTTAATGATGCTGTAGAGATGAGAGAAGTATTTAATCCCTAACCACCACTGGTGTTATTTTGCTTTTAAATGATGGGACGTTAAATCATGCACACTATACATGATATATGCACCATAACTTAGCAAAAGCAATAATGTGTGTAAGAGTTCTTTATTTACAGTAATTTAAACACCAGTGCAATGTGCAACAATTTAAGATCAAGAAAATAAAAACACAGTCTAATTCTTTTAATACATACTTGATAGAATATCATTAACTTTGAGCTTAAGATGTTGAAATGACCTCTGTGTTCTAAGACCCATAAATGCCACATTTTGGCAACATGGGTGTTCCACTTTCGCAGCTGTATAATTAGTTTTCCTGCAGTTGTAGGACAAGTATTTCCGACATCCTGTGAAGGCAGCATTTATTCAGATGCTTTTTGACAGATCAGTCCAGATTTTTGAATATGAACAAATCTCTCCCAGAGCTAGAAACAAGAAAACCAAGACAGCGTCACCCTGAATTTTTCTCCAGTGACAGTAAATGAAAGAACAGTGGCCAGTGACAGGTACTTGATTTTTACAGAGACACAGTCAGATTCTCTGGTTCATGACTGCTGGCAAAAGAAGCAAAGTGTCACTGTGTGGTGTAGCTCATGTCCATGAACACTGATAATCTGCTTAAAACTGTAAGAATAACATTGTGATGAACAAGAGATTTTAGCATCCAAAGATGTATTTTCACTTCAGATCACCTCCAGCCTGGGTGTAACTGAAACACGTGGATTTGTGGAATGTTGTGACCTATAATTACAATGTTTACCTCCCAGAATTCTTCTGGTTTTCAAAATTACTGCTTCTCTCTCTGAAGGTGCCTATCTTACAGAGATAATTCAGAGGTCCCACTGCTTTCAATCGGTGTGGGTAATTAGGTTATAGGGTTGGGCCAAGTGCTAATAGTTAGTGTAATAACAAAATAAATGTGGTGTGTATAACCTCCCCCCAGTTACTCTTGTAATTATTGTTTGTTAACATTAAAATGCATGCCCTCATACTTTACCAGTATGGGGAGAAGGGAGAGTGCATGTGCAGGTGAGTGTGTGAGTATACAGGGTATGATAAATTGCAGGTTTTCAAAATCTCCATGGATATGATTTCTATAAATGGTGGCCCAACCGACAAGATTTAAATACCACAGTGACAATTTACTTGATGGACTGTGAAAATGCAATTGTATGCACAAGCTGTACAATACACCTCATTCACCATTTATTTGTCTGTGACACATCCACCAATGTGTCCCTGAGCAAAACACTTAACCCCAAGTTGCTCCAGAGGCGTGCGACCTCTGACATATATAGCAATTGAAAGTCACTTTGGATAAAAGCGTCAGCTAAATGAATAAATGTAAGTGTATTTTGCTTGCTGCACTCGCATGTTTCACTTTCCCCTTTCTCATAGCTAAAATGCACAGCTATAAGCCCTCTATTCTCCGTGGTCACATGTTCTACAACATTACCGCCCCTATCATTTAGTATATAGTCTATATCTCTACCATGAGAATTTCTATCTTCTCTGTTGTAACCTGGACAGGTGGTGTTTAATGTGTCAGATAGATATCTCATGTCAAATCCTTGAAAGTTATAAAGCAGGTGAGGACAGCTATAGCAAGGACATTACATAAATGGTAATGTTAAACATGATTTCTTTATAATAAATAGGGTTGACATTTGAAAGTTTGCAGGCTTTAATAATAAAATGGAGGCCAGAGCACCTTCACAAGATCATAATAAATACATCTTACACATAATACATCATACATTTTGAAGTTAAAGAAATTTATTATGCAAATCAGAGCCATTATCACTGAAAGGATGTGATATGTTTTCTTTTTCCTGCAGTTCTCTCATAATTTCAAAATCAGGTCTGGATCAGTAACGTTAAATTATCTTTATCCCAGCCATTAAGAAGAAGAAAGAAAAAAGTTTTTATCTTACATTTAAACCTGCAAGTACTGATTTTTGTAGCCACTAAGGTGTGACTGAAACAACACATAAACACAACACTGACATATAATCACCTTTAAGTTGATATGGTTAGATGTTAGTAAACAGTTGCCTAATTTAAAAATCCAAAGATAAAAGTTCAATTTCTGTAAAAAAAAAAAAAAAAAAAAAAAAAAAAAAGAATTATAAGCTTAGTTGAAATATTTGGTTATGGTTATAATAAAGAATATCTATAAGAAATTTCTTCCTATTGCTAAATACATTGGTGTGTTTTTGTAGAAAACTAAACTGGTATATAAGGAAAATATGCTGCTCACAGCCTGAAGCCGTAAATGTCAAAGCTATCATAGCTGATTTAGTCTTATGGTAACAAATTCCCAACCCTTTTTGATCTTTACCCTTTTTATTTCATTTTATAACAGTACTAAAACATGAACAGTTGTGTGTTTCAAAATGCAAATAGCAATTTTGTGGAACAGCACTGGAAAGCTGATTACTCAGCTCCTTCTTTAACGTGAGCACCTGTAGATCCTACAGAACTTGTAGAAACCTTCCAGGGATCACTTGGGCAGTCTTAAAATCAGTTCAGTTATTTGCCAAATTTTCTGTTTAACACTTTCATTCATCCATTGTTTTACTTCACATGGTCTGTTGTTGAAAATGTCAGTTGGGTGTGACTACATACAGCCAGAATTCTCACTATTATTTCATTCTATTTTATTTTTCTATGTTGGCTTTATGGTATTGCATGCTGCGATGACCCAGTTCCCAAATGTGATCAATACTGTTTCATCTTATACAGTTGACTCTAGTTCCTCGGTGCTGCTTATGAAAGGATCAATACCAGCGAGGGAGGGGTCAGATCATTCAGTAGTGTTTGGTGGCTCCACAGTATCAAGGCCTTTCAGAGCACAGTGGTTCGAGGGCTTGTTAGTATGCCTGACAATTTCACGACAGCGCCTGAAATGCAAATAAAGACACACTCACTCTAAATATAAATCTGTCACTTTTTTAGCTGAGTCTGGTGTAAGACTTGCATTGCACATGTACAGTATTATTTTCTGTTGTAATGGTTACAACTCACCCACTCTTGTGTTCCTCTGGATAAAACATGCTTTAATCTTCCTCACTGTCTGTGTCACTGATGGATGGTGGAGGAAGTCTCAGCTTGCTGTGCACACAAAGTTCAGTTCAGTTCAACGTTTGGAGGGGGAAGAGACACAGAGAGAGAAACATGCTCTGCACAGTTCAGATAATCATTTGTGAAGTAATGCAGCTCACCTTTAGTTCCCCTCTACGAGCCTCAGTCTTGTCAGGTTTGATGGCATCAGAAATACATGTTTTTACATTCAGAATTTCATGATCTGGCATACTCAGAGGATCAATCAGAATTTCATAGGGGACAGCAGGATGCTTCCAGGAAGAGGAGATGTGGACGCTCCAGCTCTCAGACTGACCAAAGGTCCCTGCGGATAAAGACAGAAATTCTCCAATTTAATGTTTTTCCAAAGTGTACGGCTTTGGTTTGAAGCAATGTGACACAGTCACATTGTGACTTCTTAAAATGTCACAATGTCTGAATCTATTTGAAATCATTTCCCCGCAGCAGTGCCCTACTGTGCAGCACACCTCCTACAGACACACAGAAAACGGAATCTTTAATTCCTAAGTATTTAATCTTTTAAAAAAGTTATTGCTTTAATATACTTGTTTTGGCAATTTTAATGACATTTCCTCACGTACAACAATTTTTCAAATAGGTATGCAAATATATCAGAGAATTTTACATTCTACTTTCTCTCAGTGGGAAAAACTGAAGATCATTGCACTGAGAATCACAATATTCACATAAATGTTATGACCTTTTGGCAAGTCCTGCATCACTAATCAATTAAGTGGCCTGACTCTAAATCTAGTTTTAAGATATTTATTTATTTAGGTAATATTGAGAAATGTAACTGACACAGTGTAAACCTGAGGCCACGCAGTATTGTTGAGTAGGAGGAGCACTTGTTGTTTACTGGCTCTCTAGGCAAAATATAATTAAACTGACATGTAGTTTGCTGGATGCACTGTACTTGATGTGTACTTGAAAGTGACAGGGCACATACACAGTGGACAGGGAGTGAGTGGAAGGGGACCACAGGGGCCTGAAAGCTTTTGATTTTTACCCCCTTGGCCCCCTATAGGGTAAATCCAGCCTTGTGTACTGTCTCACACTGAAATGAACACAGCCATAAATAACAGCATTTCCATCTTAAGCACTGCACCAAGCTCAAGATTAATGTTATTTGCATGGACATTAATAATGTCTAGAAAGAGGGGATTGACAGATGAAAAATGACACCCACCTATGAATTCTCCATGTGTACTCCAAAGGCGCACAGTGTGGTCGGTGGATGAGGTAAGCACCACTTGATCAACGTCAACAATCTGCAGGCTGGACCAGAATAAAGAGACATGAGATGAAATGGGAGAAGGCATTTCTGGCAGAACACTTTAAATTATCCACCCTGTTGGTACGTCTGATGGCAGATGCACCCTGGGCAGCATCTCACCTATACTGATCGTCTGTTTAAGACCTTCCCACACACAGCCTACTCTACATTTTGATTGTCTGTTGCAGCAGAAGGAAGTTATGCTGTTCCTGCTGCCACGACACCCCAGACTGAGAATGATTGGTTCCACTAAGGATGTACTGTACCCACAGGGACTTTTAAGTATACAACTAGCTAAAAGCAAGTTATAAAAAATTGCTTTTTGACTGCAGTCAACTGATCATTTTAAACCAGATGAATTTGTGACTGACCATGATAAAGCGCGTTGTGTATTTTACATACCCAGTAACTCTGCTGGTGTGGGCACGCCAGAAGTTTTCAACTGAATTAATGTGAAAAAAACAAAAAAACAAACAGGAACACTCTCGTAAAAAAAATGATTTCGCATATTCATATTTGCACTGTATGTTTAATCAAAGTGATTGGGAAGAAAAAAATGCAGCTAACCTCTAGGTGAGTTTTGCTCAGGGGAAAACTTCTCCATGTTGTAAATGTAGATGTAACCGATTTGGTCAGCAGCGTACAGCAACGTGTCCTTGTCTGTTTTAGCCAGTTTTGTAATCTTTTGTTGGAATCTAGACTGCAAAATGGAAATAAAAATGTTTTTATTCTTATGAAAAGTGTTACTTTTTGATCTTAGCACTGATTTGCCACCAACTATTCATGTTAATTTTTCATGCAACGACTCTCTTCCACCCAAACTAACAGAATTAAAGAGACTGAATGAAACACTAACATCAAACACTTCTCCCTGTAGAGACTAAATGTTACCTTCCCAGCACACAGACTTAATACATTGCCCCAGATAATAGTTCCCGTCAAATAATTTGATATATAATATAATACAAAATGTGCCAGGCAACAAATTGTAGAAACCAATCAGAAAGAAATGAAAGTACATGAAAAACCTAAAACTGGTAACAGCCATTGTTGCTAGGTAACAAAGCACAAATGGGGTATGATAGCAAAGCAAAGATGTTGTTTTTAGGGTTTTGTGTGAAGAAATATTTAATATAATAACATCTTTATATTTAAAAGCCTAAAAAGTTTCTGCTATCTACAGGAGGATTTCATAGGCACATGTTTTATTTCAATTTCATGCCCCCATGTTCACTGCTTTGCATTATGTAGCTGCAAGGAAGGTACCTACTAGTAGTTCAAAAATTAGAACTAAGCAAAGAAACAGTGCTCCACAAATTACCTTACTGTCAGCAGTAAGATCAGCAATTTTGAAGGTAAGAGAAAGAAAAGTAAAACTGGAGTCCTATGCCATGATTTCTAAAAGTGAAACCAAGAATAGTTGTTGAGTTATAGATCTTACAGCTTTGAAGCTGCCCACAAAATTTCCTCCACTGAGCACGTTCCAGAGATTTATATAACCTTTAACAGAGAAAATACATAATTAACAGTACATTGACAGACATTGTGGAAGATTGTAAAGTGCAATTATGGGCTATAATTATTGCTGTCCATAACACTGACCCATGGCCCCAGATGACAAGAGAGCTGTAGCCGAGGAAAACTGCTGTAACTTGGAATTCTTTAGGAAAGTGATGCTTGGAACGCTTGTATCAAGTCCTGTGTAACAGAAAGAAATGTCAAACAAATGCAATGTTCTGATCGGATGAGAGTTTTATTACAAACATTCATTATTCGCTTTGAAGCTAGAAAATCACCTTCAGCATTTTGGTGATTAGCTGGAAGAGGGCTGAAAAACCGACACTGTATACGTCCAGAAACCACATTCCACACTATAATCTCTCCATCATTGCTGCTGGTGGCTAGGAGAGATGGGGGACACTGCGCCACACAAAGGATGTCCTCCTTATGGCCATATTTCTGAGGAAAGACAAAGTGTGAGTCTCTCTAAACAACTGCAGGATAAAAAGGTAATTAATACCAAGCCAAACTGAATTTTCAGTAGGCTAACAGTAATTTTATATTTATTATGAAGGATTCCTGTCTTTGTTTGAGCATAAAAAGATACAGCTGTATTACTTTCCCCATCATTCAGCATGTTTTAAACAGCTGTGGAAATATTTGAAAGTTTCAAAGTGAGTTTCTTACACTGGCACAGTTTCTACCACCTCTTCTTAAAACCAAATATTATTTTTAGTGCTGGGCACATACACACGTTATTATCGCGTTAACACATTAATTAATGAACACCAACAATTATTTTATTGCACGTTAAGGCAGTTTTTTTCTTCTTAGGCCTATTGTTTTGAAAGTCCGTTGCTCACTGGATCTGAACACACATACAGTCAAACCATGGGTCACAGGAGGGGCGGGATGTTGATCAGCCTGCAAATCACCCACCCAAACAAGCAGCGGAAGGAGGCTTCAACAGACTACGTTGGATGCAGCGTGTGGGAGAAGTAGATAAACAATAGCAAGACAAGCGATCAAATCCCATAGCAAAGTGGATAGCTACACACTGCATGATGGTATTGTGGAAGATGTCGATCTTGGGAACGTTCTTAAAATCACAACATAACCGCTTGGCCCTACGGGGTTGATCTTTGCTCCGGTGATCAGATACAGCGTTCCACGAGTAAACGGCAGGTGCTCTATGGAGAGTAACCATGGTAACAGCTTCTGTGTGCTACACAGCTGTAGCCTATTTAACTTAAGTTCAAATGATAGGTTACATAACTTTACCTGATAGGCCTTCATCTAGATGCTGTGGTGATGGTGCAATGGATAAGACACTTGCCTTTGGTGTGAGAGACCTGGGTTCAATTCCCACTGTGACCCATCCACCACTGTGTCCTTGAGCAAGACACTTAACCCCTCGTTGCTCCAGAGGCGTGCGACCTTTGACATGTATTGCACTTGTAAGTCGCTTTGGATAAAAAGCATCAGCGAAACAAATAAATGTACTGTCTGCCAATGAGAATTCCCTCCTGTTGATGTCCTATTTAGTAAACAGTAATAGATTCTGAAAACTGCAAGAATCAGTCTCTCTTCCAATGATTTGTGCTGCGCGTCACATACAAAAAGCTCAAGACAATTCAACTTTGGCAGTGGGTGGGCGTGTGCGTGAGGCGAGCACCACCGCGACACTTGACCTCACTCTGACAGGGACACTTGCTACTGAACATAGACTATGACTATAGATTATGCTGCTCCCTGATAAAATAAAAATGTTAGTTCAGAAAATAAACAAGAAAACTTATTTATATATGATTTATATATGTTAACCTGTTGCTCAGAAAGTGCCTGTTACAATGTTGTGATCATGGCTCTGGACTCAAACTTGTTTTAACAAGCTAGATAAAAGGTAGCCTAATGCCCTGGCAGTGGTAAATAGCTTTGCTTTTATATTTGATTTGATTACATTAATGTTTAAATTGAGATATACAAGAAATATTTAATTGCTACTGTGTAAAGGGAATACTGCTGGTAAAAAGCAACTTATTTGTTTAAAGTGTTTGCAAAACACATGTTATTACACTTTTGTGTATATAGCAGTACATGTAAATTAAAAGTACGCAATACACTACTTTAGAATTCATTATTCAATTTTGCACATAACAATGTGATTAATCGTGATTAAAATTTTTAATCGTTGCCCAGCACTAATTATTTTCTAACAGATAAAGCTTGATATGGTACTAATAGTACAGATCATATGCAACCCTAAAAGAATAGTTTTGGGGAAAAAAGCACATTTGGACTAATAACCTTTGTGTATGGTGACTGTGCTCTTCTAGGTGAGCTAACCGACACCCGTAAATCTTGTTTCTTAAGTTTGTGCAAAAACTGAAGGTTGTAAAAGAGGTGAGCTAGCTGATCCCTACTTTATGCTAACGGGTAACTTCTAACATATATTTCTCAGACATTTTACAGATATGATATCAATCCCCTCATTTAACTCTCTGCAAGAAAGTGAAACAGGATAATTTCACAAAAATGTCACACCATTTCTTTAACCATATAAATTCCAAAATGATCAAGGAGCACCTCACCGAATAAGTGAATGTCTTAAAGTCACCAGTTTGTTTCAAAGAACAAAACATTAGGAGAGGAAACATGGATAAAAAATGTTAAATGTCAGTTTTAACTGAAGTCTTGATTTTGCTTACAGTTCCCCAGCCAAGTGTGCCACACATTTTGGATCAACAGCTGACTTGATGTCAAACCCCTGAGCAAGCAGACAAGCCAAACATTACTCCTGCTGCTGTACTTCACACTGATTCAAAGCGATTCGTCTTGTGCTTTATGTGTGCTTATTTCTCACTGAGCTCAACAGGAATATTTTGCTTGGAGCGATGTTTTCAACAAGAAACGCAGATGGTATTTTTCATTAACTCTAGTAACTTGTAACTGATAAGTTAATTTACTGTAAATTGTATTCCAAGAAAAAATATTTAGCTGAATGGGGCCTTCTTTAAATGTTTAATGATATGCAACACCATACTGACCATCTGGAGGAAGAGAAAAATTCACAGTGAACCCAAGGTTCAGAGGATAAGGGAATGGGACCAATCTATATAGAAAAACCCATTGATCTTTCTCCGGCATGCCATTAATGAAAAACAATTTCAAGGGAGGGCTCTACAGATAATCAAAGGAGTCACTCTTCTTACTGGCCACTGTAATGTAATCTTTCTGCTCTGTTGATGGACCTCTTTGGGGGTGAGTATAACCACCAGCTATAATGAAAAAGATGGAGGTGGAGTGAGGGTCTCCTCCTCCAATGGATCATACAGCGTTGGGGAGAATCAATTTTCCCTCTTACAGAGAAGTGTGCCCTGCTGTGACCTGACCACATTATACAGGTAAAATCAGATAAAGCAACTGTAACCTATTGTGTGATATTATTGTGGACTGGTTGTACAGCTTTGAGAGCATGAGGCAGCATTCATTATTGCATTTCAAAAATGAACAATGTTTACAACAGTAGGATGGGAACCAGAGCCTTCAGCTATCAGCCTCCTCTCCTGTGAAATCAGTTCCCACTTTGAGTTCGGGAGGCAGACACCATCTCCACATTTAAGAGGAGGCTTAAGACTTTCCTCTTTGATATAGCTTATAGGCCCTGAACCATCCCTTAGTTATGCTGCTATAGGCCTAGACTGCCTCTCTGCCCTAAAGACTCTTCATCTGTATGCATTCTTATCCCATTAATGCAGGTTGCTAACTCCACATCTTTGGTCTTCCGTAGTTTTGTGCTTTCTCATCTCTCTCTTCTCTTCTTCTGAAGCTGTAGAGTCAGGATCTATGATTGCAAGCCACCTATTATTATTAGTAAAATTATTATTATTATTAACATTAATATTATTATCACTACCTTTACCATTACTATTACTTTAAATCTCTATGTGGAACTTGTTTGTTCTCTTTTGCCCTGCTCTCTCTCTCTCTCTCTCTCTCTCTCTCTCTCAACCCAACCATTGAGAAAGATTCTACTTGAGGTTTCTGCCAGTTAATAGGCAGGTTTTCCTTGCAACTCTTGCCAAGCGCTTGCTCATGGTGGGGATTGCTGGGTCTTTGTAAATACTATAACAAAGAGTATGGTCTAGACATGCTCTATATGAAGTGCCCTGAGATAACTTCTGTTATGATTTGGCACAACATAAATTAAATTGAATTAAATTTGTTTGTTTCCCTGATAATAAAGGGAGGTTTCGCTTGATCTGTAATGGTTATTAAGTGTTTAGAGAATTTAAAACAGTGTAATGTGTGTAATATTTAATCCCATGTAGGCTAGAAATGGCTCTGAAAATACATTTTTGTTTTTAGTAAATTATCGCAACAACTATTTGTTCTATTCCATGAAACATGGTAGATATTCATGGTGCTCAGACTATAAATCCTAATGACTTTGTTGTCATGGTAACAATAAACACGTCCAACACCTGCTTAATGTGAAACAGTCACAGTTTAGCCATGAAAAGATAATGTATTGGGTTAAAATAAGCAAATTACGTTAGTCAGTTACAGTAAGTCACATGACATGACTTAGGTAGGAAAGTTAGAATAAGACAACTTTGACTTTTGGTTTCACATGGGACACAATCAGCGTTCTCCTGGGTGAAAGTCTTGTGTTTGATTTGAATGACATTTGGGTCGTTATAAGCTGCTTATATGGCAGTATTTTGGAGGGGGCTGTAAATGACAGTCCCATCCACCTCAGCCATACTTTGTCTTTTGTGCTAATTAGCAAATGTTAGCATGCTAACACATTAAACTATTGAAAATATTAAACAAATCTACCTGCTAAACTGCTCAGCACTGTGAGAATGTTACTACTTAGCTCAAAGCACAACTGTGTTTAAATACAACCTCACAGAACTACTAGGAGTGCTGCATCTTTTTAAATTTGTTTAACCTTTATTTAACCAGGATAGGTCCCATTGAGATCAAAAATCTCATTGATTGTAAACACACTAAACAGAAGAACAGTACCATATATAAAATCCAAATGACAGCCCAACGATTCGTGTTGATAGAGTAGTAGTTGTTTAGAAAAACATTTGCTTTTTACATTTATCTTTAGGAAATATTATAGACTAAAGGTTGGGTAATCAAATCAAATTTCTAAACAAGCTGTCCACCAAATATAAAAACCTACTCTGCCAAAATGATCAATGTTGAGAATTAGAATTCCCTAAAGAACATCAGTGGTGGCAGCTACCTGACGTGCCTTGCATTACAGAACTGTGACATTTTAGAGGATCCAATCATTTTTCTTATATCTGTACAGCTTTTTGAATATAAAATAATCATGTACCTTTGTTCTAAACTAATGCTGATATCAATTTATGTGCAAACAAAAGCATACAAAAGCAAAGTCATGGGATAAAATACTGAGATAACCTTATGAGACACTGTGGTGGGAGCACATAGGGCATTTGGTGCACACCTTGTGTTCTGAACTAAGTCAGTGATAAAACCATCCATACATTTCAGTGACAGCTCTGGAGCAGAGACTATAGGTACATTGACAGGTCAAAGCCTGGCTGCACTGGGGCTTAAAATACAGGCTATGTGATCTGAGGACATCAACGATGATGTGTATGGGAGAAAACTTTACTGAAAATTATCAATTAATATTATATATTATATTTTATAATATATAAAAAGTATGGGGATAGGAAGATGGCAAATCATTTCAAAATACGTAATCCGAAAACTGAGAGAAATGGAACAAAGAAAGAGCAAGAATAAAAGGGGATGGGGGGATGCAGTAGCTCGCTGCTTAAGTTAAAAAATTTCTGCAGGCAATGCTGCACAGTAGGGCAGAGATCAGGGAGGCTTTGTTACCCATCTCTATGAGCTTTCCAGCCAGTCAGCAAAAATGATTCTTAGGACCAAAGACTACAGTGTCCTCCCTTTGTCCATATAATATGAACACAGAACCAGCAGGGAAGTTTTATCTTCACAGCCCTGCAGGTGCACCAGGGACTGGAGCACAGCATTGACAGAAATGGCCAAGCTCCCCTATCATATAAAGCACAATGGTGTGTGTGTGTGTGTTAGTGTGTAAACAGTATTTTAATGGTGCATTGCATTCAATGTGGAGCTAATTTAAGTATTTCATATCCTACTGGGTACTTAAATATATACATCATATTTTCAGGTTTCCTTGTAAGATTATAGCTTTCAAATAAATGTATTGGATTAAATAAGCAGAATATTTGTCTCTGAAATGTAGTAGAGTAGAAGTATAAAGTGACATAAAATGGTAATACTAAGAAAACTTGAGGTACCTCAAAAGTAACAATACTTTAGTAGATATACTTCATTACTTTCCACCACTAGAAAATGCACAATTTCTTTTAATATTTTTTATATTAAATATTATGTTTAAACAAAAATACAATGAAGCCACAAAACGGCTACGTCTGCTTTTTTTTAAATTATAAATTGATAAATAAAGTGCTAATTGAATAACCACAGACCACTTGTCTGGTGTATTTTTGATCATGCATTCAGCCCATAAAAGACCCAATTTGTCCTTTTGTCACCTTTAACACAGAAAGCTATGCTTTTAGAATTAGAGGAATAATGATAAAATCAAGCCAATGCTGTCTGCCAAACTAATCCGCCTGAAATAAATACAGTACAAACTCTCAGTCAGAGCCCATTGAACTACTTGATACTACAGTTTTCTGTTCATTATCACCAAATCATCCTGCCACGAAGGCTGCGGCCTCTGGACACGATGAAGGTCCTCAGGTATATCCTGACAAAATACAGATGCACAGTCAGCATAAAAAAGACATCACATCTCAATATTAATACATTATGTTTTGTCAAAAATAGCAACTGGTAGAACATCCTATTAGGACATTAAAATTCTTATTAACCAGACAATGAGTCTCCCGCCATGCAGCAGAAAGTGTGTGTACTTATCAATTGTCTGTTTTTTTTAAAGAAATTCAAAACGGGCAGTTCAGCTGGTAATAATGTAAACAAATGCAAATGGGATGCAATACAATGGATGGAAGGAGGAATTGGAAAAATAATTGGAATGGGATTTCAGAAACACAACTGACCAATAATACCTAGAACTCATGTCTTTTCTTTTTTACTCACTGAGTAAATGTCAATCTTCTGGTCCCGGCCGACAGACATCACATAGCTTCAAACATAAATTGCACAAGCTCAACATGGATTCAAATTTATACAGAACCAAGATTACTTACTAAATATCACATCATTACTCACAAATTCCTGTGAACTTTCAGAAAGATGCAGTCCCTCACCTCGTGACAATCACCATCTACAGGAAATATTGAAAGGGATTTTTATGTATAATAATATAGTTATACAAACCTTTAGTTTTGAGGGAGTAATGGAAATGTACAATACATACCCTTCTTTAGTGTCTTTAGGCACTGACCATTGTTGAAGTTCCAGATCTTTAAATAACCATCTCTTCCACCTGTTATGAGTCTACAAACACAATACCACAGTGTGATGAAGTATATTTCATGAAAAGTGAAAGTGAATTTCACAAGCTGCAGATTAATTATACCTCCTCCCATTGTGGTCAAAAGCCATGCATGTGATGGCAGACAGGTCATGTGCACCACCATACTCAAAAACCTGACATCCAGTGTCAAAATCCCAGACTTTCACCACCTGAAACCAGTAATATTCAAGACGTTTTTTGTCATGTGCACGGTAAAAAAAAAATAACAACAAAAAAACATAAAGGCTTTAGACCATGCTATGAAAATCTTACTTTGCAAATCTCCCTTAAAAAATGTAATTATGTCGATATCTAAACAAAAGATATAAAAGTATTAACTACAATAAATTAATTACAATAAACAACAATATATAAAGACTACATAATACAGTAAGGTGCAGCAGAGTAGATTATGTGGAAGCAAAAACCTGAGTAACATTTTGAGCTAAATGTACAGCTGATATAAAATATGATAGCCACATTTCTGTTTTAACACAGAGAGGATTAATTTTTCAGTGGAAATGTGAAGTTGGTCATCTGTGTCCATGATGTTGTAAAATACTAATTTACTCACAGATCCCTCAGTGCAGCTGACAACTTGACGAAACTCCTCACTGTAGCCGCAACACATTACAGGCTCATTATGCGAAACAGTCAGACGGCTGTGAAGCCGTGGCCTTACACGGGGAAAAGATATGAAAATTAATGACAGAGAGATGAATATGAAGAAGCTGCAGTCATCTTTGTAGAAAAAAATCTTAAATTCTGTACATTTTTGGTGAAAGTCCTTAAATCATTTTCAAAATATCTTCAGAGTACATTTGATTCAATGATGAATAAAGCACAAAGGTATGACAGCTAACCTTATCTTCAGGGAGAGCACAGCCATACAGTCTGCTGCAATGTAAAGGGATTTCATAGCAGAGGAATACGAGCATGCAGATATGTCACCATGAATCCCGCTTGCTTTGCGGTCTGTTGTCAACAGGCAACACTGATCTTGAATATCCCAGATCTGAAATGGGAACACATGAACAGTGGTGAAAGAAATATTTACATAATTTACTTAAGTAAAAGCAATTCCACACTAAAGAAATACACCATTACAAGTAAAAGTCCTTTAGTTAAGGAAAAGTACAGGAGAATTAACAATAATATCTACTAGTATGAAAAGGTCTTGCAGGCTGGTTTTGTTATATTGTTTTATTATATTATACTTGATCCTTATTATTAATGTATGTAAGCATCACTTAAACATTGCAGGTGGTTGATGTGGAGCTAATTTATACTTCTTATACTGCTGTGTAGTTTAATGTAGTTGTCATATAAATGTAGTGGAGTAAAAAGTGCAATATTTCCTTCTGAATTGTAATGGAGTAGAAGTAAGAAGTGGCATGAAATGGAAAAATCAAGTAAAGTGTCTCAAAATTGAACTTAAGCACAATACCGGAAATAATTAATTTCTCTCCACCACTGCTGGTGAAATGGCTGCAGTGGTTAATGCATGTACAGTAATATGAATGCTGTATTTATGTGGATCACTGAGAGCACACCAAATCATAAGTGAAATATAAAAAATGTGAATCACTTTCACAGTGCTGTCTATGGAGACAGAGAAGATCTGACTGTCTGCTGAGAAGATGCAGAGGTAGATGATGGGAGCCGAGTGGCCTTTCAAAATACCAGTTGGTTTCCTAAAAACAAAAACAGAACCAAGGCGGAAGTGGCTTTTTAAGTTAATGATAATCGTCTTAAAGACAACCCACTGAATTCTAGTTCCTTACCCAGAAAAATGTGGGTTCCACATGCGTATGAGTCTGTCCATACCTCCAGTGACCAGCAAGCTGTGCTTCTGACAAAGGTCAAAAGTTTTGACACCTTTGTGGATGGTGAAAACTGTCTGGTCACATGATGCTCGGAGCTGTGGAGTCCAGCTCAGTTGGACCTTTTTGGTCTTACCTTCATAGCAGGCCTCCCTGATCTCACTCAGCTGCTGCTCAGCGTCTGTTAAGGGCAGCACACAGCCTCAAGAAGGAGAGAAAAAAAATGCATTTTATTATAAGGCCATGAGCATCGATCAAAACATGCTTTTTGGAGCTAGGGCAAGTCATCTTCAGAATAAATGACCAAGCTGGTAAGATGACATGGGCAATCATGTACACACACACACACACACACACACACACACACACACACACGCACACGCACACACAAACATTCTGTTGGCATTGATTGGTAAATTTGTGGTAGATGAGTCATCATGAGTCATCCCTCTCAGCTCTCATACCAGGCAGCCTAATGTTCAACACTGAGTTTAATTACTGCACATTGTAGAGTGAAAGGACGTTAGACCATCATTTTCAGGATGCACCATTTTCAAGCAGAATATACATGTGTAAGAACAGACATGTTTGTAAGTCCAAGTCATGGTAATTAGTCTTGGATTGTTTGTTATTATCCTGATAATGCTGAACAAATGTCAATTAAAAATAAAAAAGCCAAAGAAATTAGATGTAAAGTACCTATGACAAGAGACGAAGATTCTTCATTTGATGAAGAGACAACAGCTTGAAAACTTTGAAAATATTTTGCCTAAATATAGAGAGAAGAGTGAGTTGCTCAGTCTATTTCAGGAATATCTGTTCATAACACAAATAAAATGCCACACCACTGAACAAGTTGTTACACAGCTTCTTAAGCATAAATATACTTAACAGAACATAAATACATTTCTTTGTGAAGAAAGTGTATATACACATGGAAAGGTAAAATTTCACCTGTGTTACCCAGTCCAGATGAACCTTCCATCTGACAAATATCACATTCGGAGAAAGCACTGCATTATCAATCATTATGTTGGGTATATTTTCAATCTTTGGTAATTTATTCCATAATCTATAAAAAAAAAAGATATTGAGATGTCCATCAGACCTGGCCTCATATACATTCACAACATGTAATTTATTTAATTGGCAGGGAACCTATAGGAAGCAAGGGTATAATTTTCCTCCTTGTCTTTTTAGTGGCCATGCTAATGCGACTCTCAAACCCCGGAGTCCATACACTCCAGTTCCAGTATAACCAGAACAAAATAACTGCATGATCACTACTGTGAAATCCATGCAATGAATATAACTCACATAATATGTTTTTTAATGTCATATAATGTCATATAATGTGTTGAAAGGTGCCACATTTAACTGAAAAAAGAACAACAAATAAGAGAACATTTAAAATGGTGTTTCCCACAATGCAGGCGCAAAATTTACCTACCAATCAATTAATCACTAAGTATGGACACTGTATGACAAAAACAGATTCTCAATGATTTTTACACCCTGGGTTAATAATAAAATCCGATTTATTTGCAAATGTTTTAAAGAACTAAAAATATCTCTTAGTAAATTGGAGACCAGACATTTTACACTGACACTGTGATTCAATCAAGAGACTCTTACATTATTATTATATTATAAAGAAAAGATAAAAATTACATTATGTTAGAACCAGAAAATTTGATTAATTGCAAATGTGTATCATAATTCAGAATGAAAATAGGCCTTTAAAATAAGAACTTAAAAATTCATAATCTTCATCTTACTCAAATTAAAGTGGAGCTGTTATTTTATGAATACAAAGATTACTTTTTATTTACAATATTGGAAAATTATGTATTTAGATAAGTAATTCTGATTCTGAGCCTGGTGTGGAATTTATTGTAAAATCGTGCTATGAATGCTATCATGTTACTCAGTAGAGTCCCAAACATTTTACTAATCAGCTGTTGCTAAGGAATCACCAAACATGCTGCAAATGCATCTCACTCATAAGAAATATTCTCGTTTCAGTTTTACACTAGCAAATTCCTTTTGATCAGCCAAGAACATGATCTGGGAAGGAAACAATGAAGTAAACAAATTTGATTGGTTGTAATAGTCTCCCTAGGGCTCAGCTGAGTTTTCTTTGGTTACCTGGCTGTGTAGAGAGTTTATTCACTGTTTATTTGAGAAGCTTGCAGAATATATGCTCAAATGCAATATAATACGCACTAAATTTTCTGATACGAGTATACTATAAAAACTGTTTATGCTGTATATACTAATAATACCTTTAAAATGTGTTTGAGACCTTGGCACCCTCTGTTCAGATAATACTGAATAATACAGTATGTATGATAGTTGAACAATAGAAATAAGAGTGAATAAAAGTAGAAAAGCACAATTACCTGAGGGTATCTCCAACGGAGGATATTAAAATGATGGTCACACATCCCTGAAACACAAAGAACAAAATTAACTTCTCAAACTATTAATCAGGTGGGAAATAATGGATGATTCTTGTTTGAAAATTGGATCAGGATTTAACTACCTACCTCAGTGTCTCCATACACAATACAGCATTTATCAGGGCCAGTGTAGCTATGAGGAAACACAAACCATCACGTGTGTTGAGACTTATTGTGACATTTGTAAGATATGTTAACATGCTGTATTGCTCACCCGTAGTCCAATGTCAAAGGCACTGTGTCTAGTGCATTGATCTGGCAATAAGGCTCCAGAGTGGAAAGCTCATAAAGTTGGATCTCTCTGTCCCTACAAGATAACAAAGACACGCACAATAAACAAAGCTAGAATCATCTGGGACCTGTTAACCTGTTGTTAACAAGAGTAATCAATGTACCTAATAAATAATTTGGTCTTTAAGTCATTTTATTAAACCTTTTTCTCATATTACCCTGTTCCGATCATCAGCTTGTTGTACTCTGTCATGAGAGTAAAATCACTTGCCCACTTTGACTTCCTGTTTGCAGGTCCTTCTTTCTGTAAAAAATGATCAAACTAAAATGTTAAAAAAAAAATTCAATTCAAATTCAATAGATAACTATAGGAGGTAGTCAAAATAACAGTTTTGGTGCAATCCAATAGAACAAACCTGAAATAAATACTAATTTATGTTTGCTTTCTGTCAGATTTTACTGAAAATAGTGTAAAGTGTGCAAAGCGACTTTATATAACATATACTATACAAAATAACACAAACACCTAACACCTTCTATACGTATGTGATACATCTGGTGACATTCTGTATTTTTCTTATCATCAACAAATCCCCTATAAAGAAGCAAACCGGCATTGAATTGATCTCACTTACAAGTGAAATATCTAATTACCCTCATTCATAGACCTCCATTGATGTCAAAAATTAAAGTATTAAAAAAACTCATTGTGTACCGGATGACATGTTCCTTCATTATGATGAACATGACACTATAATTTATTTTGAGCCATTGTCACATTCACATCCTGTTGTAATTACTGTCTAGAGCATCAAGTATATTAGTGAGCTGCTAAAAATAGTCCCCAACAAGTCCACTACTTAAGCCTGATTGAGTAATTTTTGCTAAAAACTACAGTCTTTCATGGGATTTGTTGACAAAAAGAAAAATACAGAATGACCCCAGACTGCCGAGAGTCGTTGAAGTATTCAGGTAAATGTACAAAAGGTAAAACGTACAAACATGTGTTTGATCTTCAGTGGTTTAAGTTCAGGGCTCCAGTGGCAAACATCCCCGTTTTCCTGCACTGTGAGGATACTGCCATCATAGGTGGAGTGGATGTTGACTATGGGAAGGCCATGACACAATGCCTTCATAGTGGCTGGCAGAGTGAAAGCCACCTGCTTGCTGCGTCTTGCAGTTTCCTGGTTCTCTTTGTATTCCTGCAGCATGTGTGCGCAGAACTCACCCTATATCACATTACTCTGCGTTAATGTTCAGGTTGTCTATCCTGCATAGTCATAAAATTGTCATTCTGCTTATATGAGCAGGATTGTAGGTTTGGTTTCAGACATCAAAAATAAAATGTTCTTCAAAAATATATACTGAGCATACAAAATGTAAAGATGTTGATTACACACATCTTCCCCATCCCCAGTGGAAACTGCATCCTGTGTGAGCGCATCCGTACTTTGACTTTGCAATTACAAAATAAATCATACTCCAATGTTATATCATATATCTAGAAATATCTTCTAATAATTTCCTTACAAATGTAAAAGACAAAATATTTCAGCTTTACAATCCATACAACCAGTGAAAAGCTACCGACTATCCAGCCGAATAAAAAACACATTGAAAATATATTAAAAATCAAGTCAAGCGTCAAGAGTCTTGAGAAACCATCGCATTTGAGTCAGCACAAGACAAATGTGTTAGTGTACAGTGAACTGGGCACTAGAAAAGCTGATTAAGCCCGAATCATTGTGTTCAGTCACACTTGCTCCATTTTTACTGTAGATTCCTGGTGTTAGCATGCAAGGGACTTCTCCTTACACAGAATAAAAGGGCTGTATGCTCCATAAGTAATAAATATGAATTTCATCTCACCCATGAAATCCTTCCTCGACCTGAATAATCAATCTTCTTAAATAATCCTTGAATCTGTGCATTGCTCTGTGAAATTCAAAGAACAAAAGAATGAAGTACAACGACACTTATTGTAAATGAATCATGTAATTGCACATGCTTCTCCTTAATTGCAAAGTAGTGCGACACAGAGATGAGAGAATCTGAGAGAGTGTAAGACACAGAGAGAGAGAGGTCACACTGTCTTACTGTTTTAGGCAAACCCAAACACTTCTTCACTATACGTCCAAAATTCTTTGCGTCAATGGATCTCAAGCCACTCTTTTCAAATTCCTTTACAAAGACAAATACAGTCAAATCTTCCAGACATAAATAACCAGACTGTTGGTATGTTTTAAAAAGAAGCAGTTTATACCTTACCTCAAATGCTAGTTTCAGTTTCTGGAGGTCGTCGAATGATATTGTCTCATCAATCTTATTGGAGAGAGGGAAAATGGTGACATTATATTATCACATAAGCCAATTTCATCATCTGGGCCGATTATGAATATTATCAGAAAAAGAGAACAATGCACAATAAAACCAGTTATAAAGTTTCAATGGCAAAAATGCTCCTTCCATTTTATTTTCAGTCCACTCAAATCCACTCACCAGGCAGTTCATAAAGTCTGAGTGCTAAAAATACAAATGAAGGTTAGAGAGAAAATATTAACAGTGTATTTTTATCAAAACAGGTGATTTGGGCTCTACCACCGACTTATGTTCTGTATTAATGGTCTCTCTTCAGTTTGCCACGGTTTCCTAGCAACGAGTCCTCAATCCATAACACTCTTTAATCTATCATTAATAAATAACAGGGATAAACAGCCTAATTCCTCAAGGATGTAACTAGGGTCGAGGTTTCCCCACGGTATCTCCTGAAATGCCGAGATAATTGTTTAATCAGTCAGAGTGATGGAAGTACTGAAAGTGTTCACATAACCTTCCAAATCCGTTTATTAGAGCTGCATCACTTTGAACTCCTGAGCCTGTTTCCTGCCTAATCTGTTATGGCACATTGCTCATTACATTAAGCACGGGAGTGTGGCTGACATCTGCAACTGAAACCCACAAACTTCAGCCAGGGCATTTGCACCAGCCTCCTACATCATTCCATCATTCCTGTCTGCTTGAAAGCTTGAATTTTAATCTACTATAGGTCATTTAAAGTAGTTGGCGCAGCAACAATGTTTGTTTAACTTTAAAAAGCAAAACAAACAAACACGGTCATCCTGGGCTCTGGGACAGATTTTTCTGCCCGATGCACTGTCAGGCTGGGAGTAAATTGATCATCAGCTTGATTTAAAATGGCATTTTTGGCAGTACCTCATATTCATTCTGCTAAACTAACAAGTGTTGCAATGTAACACAACAGTGACACCTTGAGGTTAAAAGCATCAACTTTGGAAAAGTAGATTCATTGGGAAAGTGTGAAAAATGTATAATGTCACTGCCATAATCAAGATTTAGGACATCCTTTCAGATGCAGATTGGTTCCAATTTAACACATTTAACTTTTTTGATTTCACTTACAGGTAGATGTTTTGAAAACTGTACCTTGAGGCTACAAGTTGAGTCAGTTCTGTAGTGTTGTCGTCTCATTATTTGAGCCTTGTCTCCGAGTGTGACAGAGTGTCTTCGCCTGATCTGTTTCAGCCGCTCTCGAACTAACCATTCAGGCTGCTCATTTCTGTCCTCGCTGACACCCGCTCGTCCTGGTGCTGAAAAGTCACCTGTGACTTTCTCACCCCGACCACCTGGCCCGGAAGTGTTTCTCATCCGACTCCCTAGTTCAGAGAGGATGCTGGAGGATTTGAGATGTTATTTTGATTAAATGGATGTACTGTTCTTGTAATACATTGTTAATATGGGTTTTTTGGCCCTCTTTAAAAGTATACAAGAAGGACCCTGTTGTATATTACTTGACTCAGGGTAGCCAACATTGTTACAGACTTTCAGTAGAAAAGTGCCAGTGGAAAATACACATAGGGCCTATATCTATTTAACCTTGGAAACTGATTATAAGTTACAGGTGACCAGACTCTCTGTATTACATGGTAAATTCTCAGTGCTCAAGCGCCATGACAACAGTAAACATTTGCTGAACATGACAGAGAAACAAGGCAAGGCCTCAACCATGGTCCCATTATCCCTTGTCTAGACATTAAATCACTATAAAAAATGTAGAATATAAAATATTGAATAGGAATGAAACTCAACACAAATGTGATTTACAAAGGTAAAAGGAGAGCAAAAAAATAGCAGATTACCTGGTCACATGTTGGGTTTGTAATCTTCCTGAAGCTGAAGAAGAGCGAACCTTTTTCCCCAATGACATCTTTGTTAGACAGTGTTATCTTAAACGTTGACGTGATGTAAAAAGCAGCACTTTTCCTCAGTCAGACTTCTGAACAGATGTTAATCAGACAGATCTCACATTTGTCTACCCGACACTCACTCTAATATTACACCTGAGCAGAGCAGGTGGCCCCATGGTAACTAAGAAACCAAGAGTGACAACTGAGACTAAAAAACTAAAGACAAGACTGCACTTCTGCAGAGAGAAACAGCTTTGTCACCATGTTAAATCCAGTTTAAAACTAACAATAGATTGCATTGTTTAGAGTTTACTTTAATCATTTAATTAGTGTAACAGTTTTCAGGTAGTTTCATTCATCTCATAAATACTGACACGGTTTTACATTTTCATTGCAACTACGAAGGGAATAAATAAATTAAAGAAAAAGATCATTAATATTCCTTTTGGAAATACTTGGAAAATAATATTTCACAATCTAAAAGTGATATAGCACAATAACGGCTTGATGAAACATAAAGGCAGATAAATATCTTTTCATCAGGCAGATATCACAACACACAAGTTCCACACAAAAAAACATAGCAAATGAATTTGCTATATATATTGTTCTATATAATTTATTACATTGTTTTACCTCTCAATCAAGCAAGATAAACAAGCTACTAAAATAAGCAATAAGTTCAGGGAGGTCCTGGCCAGCTTGATATCCACTCTGGTGAGCAAGAATTAAGTATGGCTGGAAGTTTATTCACTTTCTCCCTGTTGTTCGGATATGCATCTTTACTCAAAATTGTTTTTACAGCCGCCCTTTCTGCAAAGCCAAAAGACACAAAACAGGAATTACCTATCAAAATAAAAATCAGTAAGCAGCTATAGGATCAAAACAGAAGTTGATGCTAACCCTCCTCAGGTAAAATTCTGTGTAACTGCTGCAGCTCCGGGGGTAGCAGAGACTTTATCACACATGCGGCATTTGGGACATTCTTTCCACAAAACCTGTCATAGTTTGTCAAATCTGATCTTTTCTGCTGAGTGTGGACGTGCCTTTGCACAACAGTTGGAACTGCAACACACAAAGGATAATTAATTGATAGAATTCATTAGACTTGGTGAATTGCAAGCACTCCTTACAATGTTTGCATAAGTATTTTTTTAGCTTACCTATACCACAACAGGCCACATTAGGATCTGTGTTGTTGCACAGCAGTTCAGGTTTTTGCTTTGGCTGGTGGTAGTTGTCCCCCATCGCTGTGTCAAAAGGGAAAGGCACTTCATGCCTGCTGTGCACAGGCACAAGTCTTCTTTCTGGATTATTAATATGATCATAACCTATCAAAGAAGTTTAAAAAAAAAGGGAAATACACTGTAGACAGAAATATTATGATTAAAGTGGTGGTTTGATTTGGACATGCCTGAGTGCTTGAAGGTCATTAATTCAGGCATGTTCTGGCATGCTTTCATACACAAGACTGAACCAACAGACTAACAGGCATACCCATGAAATCACATCTGTAGGTGGAGCGGTACTGTGCTGTCAAGGCCTTACGCATCTCCCCCTCAGATGGGGGACATTTCCAAGAAAAGCTGACAGAGCTTTGTGCGGCATCCCTAGGCAGCCTCCACATCATGAAAGACTTGGGGAAAATAGCTTGATTTAAAGGTTACGATACACTGTGAGAGGTCAAGCATGGCATTCAACTATAAATGTAAAATTGAGGCTAACACAGCCTAAATACCAACCTGACTGGGATGTGGATTGTTTCTCCTCTGCCCTGAGGCTGTTCCTGTGCGAAGGCATTCAGGTTTACAGACTGGCTTCCAGCAAAAATCCTTATTGTACACAGTTGAACCAAAAGGTCCAGACTGTGAATACGAGTCTATAAATGAAGTTGACTTTGGGCACCTACATGTATCAACGTAGACATACAATTACACACAAACAAACATACAAATCAAATTCATGCCAATAAATAGAACTTACAGCTGAATATCTGCATCTAAATTTGGCCGGTAGACAAAATGCCTTCCATGAGATGTTTCATATGGATCCCACGACTGTTTGCACTCTACAAAAAACATGGCAAGACGGTAAACAAACCTAAGTTAATGTTTCAGAGTTCCCTCTTACCTCTTACACTTAAGGTAGTAGTGTCCAGAATCAAGGCTACAACCCCCACCCCCCCACCCCACCCCATCCTCAGTCTTACACTCACTATTAAAGCAGCATCTATGAACCAATATTACCCTGAGGCGAGGGGACATGGACATTAAATGTGACACAATATTTACAATTCTGTAAGTTAAAATTAAAGTATAACTACAAGATTAATTATAATAAAATGTGACTCTGCAACATTACAAAACAATAGTGTGTAATTATTCCAACTAACAATATACAATATAATATACCAGTCTATCAATCAAATAGCCTAATTACACAACATAATGAGATAAACCTAGCATTTTACAGTAACCCAAGATGTAACAGAAATATAATAAAATAATAAGATGCCTGCTAAATGAAATTAGACATAGATTAAGTTACTTTCAAATTGGTTAACAAGTTTCTTTCAATCTTTGCATAACATATCCTTGGTTTAAAATTACCTTTGGTTGCCATTGGTGACAACTGTTGGTACCTTGTGCTTTAGTTGTTTAGTGTAATGGAAACCTTTCCCTTTCCATTTCCAGAAGAAAGTTCACTGCGTGGTTGGCTTGCTGAAAAGCGTATTTGACAACTATGCTAAATTTGAGCTTGTATGTATAACAATTAGAAAGTTTCTTTCATTGGCTTAACCTGTACAGTAGGAGAGCTGATCCCAGCAGGATGTTTCTTGGTGCTGTGGTTATGGAAACCTACAACATTTGAATGGCTGCTGTGAGCTGCTCAGTAGGGGAGATGTTGCATTAAAAATTCAACAAGCCAGAGATGCCTTTAAAATTATGGCTGTTTCTGACAGTGGTTGAAAGTAACTAAATACAGTTACTAAGTACTGTAATTTCATATATAAGAGGACCCCCTTTTATTTATGCTACTTTATATTTATTGTCATCTTGATAAACAATATGTTCGTGTTCTCTTTGTAGATTTTTCATCTTCATTAAATACCATCAGACCCCATATTATGATGGAGCGACTACTACAGTTAAGAGTAAATGGTCACATCATCAGTTTACGTTTGTTGAACACCAAGAAATCTAAAGAAATAATTTTTGACTTGAGGAATGCAACACCCACTAATAAATGACTATGTATGGGGAGGGTAGTGAAATGGTAGATGATTACAAATACTTAGGAACAATAATAGATGAGAAACTGTCATGGAATTTTAACACAGATCTTATATAAGAAAGGTCTGCAGTGTCTATATTTTATGTACAAACTGAGACAGTTTGGTGTGGACAGAGATATATTGGTCCTCTTCTATCGCTCCTTTGTGGAAAGCGTAATAACCTGTAGTTCTATTGCCTGGTATTTTACATTTTCAGTGAATAATAAAAATAAACTGTATAAGATAGTCCAGTAAGATTGCTGGACACCAGCAAATATACATGATAATGACCTGTGAGTCCCGATTGGTGAGGAATTATTGGAGATGTATCACATCCCCTATTTAGCGTGCACAATCTGTTACCATCAGGCAGATGGTATAGGGTGCCATTGCCATCCCTACGAACCACCCGGGCCCGCAGAACATTTGTGCCTACCAGTATTGCATTGCTAAACATTCTGTGAAACAAAAAAAAGACAGAATCTCTGGGTGTCAAGAAGCTGCACCTTAGTATATTATGTAGAGCACTCTGGTGATGTTTGTGTTGGTATTGTAGTTGTCTGTGTTTGTTTGTTGTTGGTAAATATTTAAATATCATAACATCTTCAATGCAATATTTTAGAAAGAAATACTTATCACACTACATTTACTGTATTTGACAGCTATAATAACTGGTTCTTTTGCATATAAACATCTTATAAACAAAACATGGGATCGTTTTATAAAATGCTGGATTTTATATAAACAGTGTTGGGCAAGCTACTTGGAAAATGTAATGAGCTAAGCTACTAGCTACTCTACATTAAATAAAGCTTCACTACACAGAAGCTACCCCCAGTGAAATGTAGCAAGCTAAACTACAGCAATGTGGCAAAAGTAGCTTAGTTAACGTTACATCTAAGCTACTTTAAATGTTTTAATATTTTATAGTTAGGTCTATTTATACACACACACCTATACACTATATAGGCCTAGTTTATTCCGCCGGCTGCACATACAGGTCCGTGTGTGGCGGTGGCGTTATTTACCGATCCTTCAGAAATGCTTGGGAAAATGTAGCGTGTGGAGCTACTCGGTCAATAAAAGAGCTTCGTTACTGAAAAGCTATTTTATTCAGAAAATACCGACGCTACTACGAAGCTAGTGAGAAATGTAGTTAAACTAGTAACGGCGCTACTTTTATTTACGCTACTGCCGAACACTGTATATAAAGTAGTTCAAATTCTTGGACCCCATACACTTCTTTATTTCAGGAGACCTCTTTTTACAATTTATTATTTTAATATCTTCCAAATATGTAAGTTCAAACTAATGCTAATGCACAAATAAAGATAAACCAGTGGGTATATATCGTTACCACCATATAACCATAGACCTATAACATTAATACACTCTAAATGCGTGTTAAGTAGGCTATTGTTTGTTGATAATACTTATCAACTTGTACTTAATTGTACTCGTGTAAGTTAGGAACAGTCAGTCCCACATACAATTATGCACTTTAAGTTTAGCGCCATCGCCCCGTCGTGTTTTGGACAACCAAGCAGGACTGAGACAGTGAGTGTCCAATAAGATACTCCACGGAGTTGACGGCAGCCAATGTCCGACAGCCGGAGCCCAACACACGGCATAAACACACGGGGATCCTCACTGCCAAAAGACCGCGCACTGACGGTGCTTCTCGTCCCATTGTTTGAGACGTAACGTTACCGACGTACAGCTGAGCTGTTGTAGCGTTGTCGGGGTAAGCATCATACATGTTAACTTATTAAAAAAGCGACTATTGTGTGCCTGTTACGAATGAAACAGTGGGCTGCGTTATTGTTTGCACAATGTGCATCGGTGAGGGTTTCATGTTTAGTTGCATGACTGAGCTGGACAGGATGCTAACACATAATCAAGCTCCTGCTGATGTTTAACACTGTCTTGCTAACTCAGCTACGTAGTTACCCAACTCTGACATTAGCTGTGGCCATACATTGTAACCAAAACAAAGCCAAGGATAACTCCCCCAACGACCAAGTTAACTAATACGTTAGGCTTATCGTAACGTCCGCTAATGTGTTACCAGCTAACAGCGACGAGCTAATTGCTAACTCAGCCTGACAATGGTGGCTGGTTGGTCTGACCGTTTGCTATCATGAAAGCTACCGCTAGCTAGAAGGTGAACGTAGGTTAACACCGCTGACTGGTGCTGAGGCAGACCTGGTGCGGTAAAGCAGGCGGAGCATCTTTCTCCGTGATCACTGGCACTTTAATTTAAATTCTAAATCAAATATACAGTAACGTTATCCAGATAGGATGTAGGTTAATCCACTGACTGTTAAAAAGCTAGAAGAACGGATGACTGCAGTCCCCTGGCAAGTTTTAGCAATCTAACCAGCCATTTTAATAATGGTCTCATGAAATGAGCACTGTGACATGCCAGCTTGCTAAGGCTAAAACTAGCTAGCCTAGCTAAAATGCTAACGCTAAAAGGAAGATCAAACAAAGCAAGAACGGAGCCATAATGGCTAACAGCTAGCGAACAATCAAAGGCGGTGGAAGCTAATGTATTCATCTACATACGTTATATCAATGGGAGGCTAACGTTACTGGATAATATACTGCAGTGTGCTGTTGTACCACGAACACTGTAACGTTACTGCAACACTGCATATATGCCAGAAGTAAAATACCAGTAAGCTAACGTTTATGTGTAGTATTAAAATAAGCTTGTGTTGGCCTCTTAATGAAATGCAGTGGGTTGTCAGTCACCTGGGACATCCTCCTCCCACCACCCATTTTAAACAATAGATGGAACTGACAAAGCAAGTGGTAGACAATTGACTGGGAAATATGCATGAGTAGACTTGGATGCATTTCTCTGAAAACATATTTACATTTTCTTTCTCTCTATTCAGTAATCCAAGATGGGAAAGGATCCAAAGAAGCCGAGGGGGAAATGTCCTCATATGCCTACTTTGTGCAAACGTGCCGAGAGGAACATAAGAAGAAACATCCTGATGCATCTGTCAACTTTGCAGAGTTCTCCAAGAAATGCTCTGAGCGATGGAAGGTAAAATAAATTACTTCTAA